GTCATATTTAAAGATTTAGAAAGTTGATATATGGGGTTGGCGTAATGGCTATGTTGCTGGACTCCCATGTAGTCGACTGTGCTTCAAGTCCCGGACACAGTGTCTTAAACTCACGCCAAATGCGTGTGTGTGTGCCCAAGATCCCGAGAGGAGAGTGGAAGAAAAGGGACTGTGGCATGGCCCCGGGGGGGATGATTTCTCACTTTCTGTCTCTCTTTCTGGTGAGAACATGCACTCTATAATAAAAACCTCTCAAAAAAAAAAAAAAAAGAGTTGATATATGGAAGAGGTCATTGGTATCTGTGGCATTAGTCTTTTCTCCTTATTAACCGTATGCACTTTTTTATTGCTCACTCAATGTTTTGGTGCAAAGCATTAGTTGTACTTCGGTACTGAGGTTCTGAAACCTTGGAATATGGTTTCTAGGAGTGTATTCATTCGAAGAAATTTACTTACAACAAAATCAGTCAAGAAATATTTATTAAGTGCCCCCTCTTTTCACTTCCTTTTTAGGTACCATAAGAGATAAAACCCTTTTCATTTTGTTAGTTGCAGCTACTAGGAGAGAAAAGATGAATATACATGAAAGAATATCAAGAAATAGCAAAAGCTACATCATTTAGTGCTGTGTTGTAAGCTAGACTACATCAGAAGCATAGAGATTAGTGAAAGCTGGCAAAATCAAAGTGGAGGAAGTAGAACTTGAAGGGAGCATTTCAGGAAAAGTTAGGCTCAAAAGCAGTTGAAGAACTGATCTGTAGACTGGAGGACCAATGAAAGGACAGTGGAGGGAATAAGCAAAATCTGTGAGACATTAGGTAAAGGACCTTGGGCTGACCCTGTGGCCTAGTGATTAAGACAGTTTGACACCACATGACTGACTTAGAGGTTCAAATCCTGGACCTGGTGGCTTCAAAAACACATCAGGGATAGGTGCGTGCCCAGAATCCTGACAGGATGGAGAAACTGAAGAGAGAGATTGTGGCCTGACCACACCTCAATGACGGATACTTTCTCACCATGCCTTTCTCTCCATCTCTTAGCCTCTCTCTCTGTAGCATTTGCATGCCCTCTGGCAAACGTAAAAAATGTAAAGTAGAATAAACATTAGTAGAAAATAAAGTTGGTTCCTGTGAATTTATAAAAGGCCCTGATTTTTTAAAATAATTATTTAATTTTATTTATTACTGTTTAAAAAACATTGCTATGGGGTATGCGTACTCACCAGAGAGAGAGAAAGAGAAGAAGAAAATAAGAAAGTGAGCAGCCAGGTCTGGGACTCAAACTGCTATTGGTCAAGTGAAAGTCCAGCACCTTAACAACCATACCACCAGCTGTGGCCCCAAGCTTTGATATTTTTAAATAATTTGGATATTGACTAGAATGAAACATGTATAATACATTAGATTTAAAGTGACTGAAAAGAACATAAACATCAATTCATTAAGTAATAGAAATGTCGGGGCCAGTAGATGGCAGAGTGGCTATTATCATTGGACTCCCACATGGCCAACCATGGTCTCAGACATACATGGTAACTTGAATCTCTTACTAGGCACATGTGCGTACATGCCCAAGATCCCAGGAGGAGAATGGAAGAGAAGGGATTGCAGTGTGGTCCTCCTCTCTAGGGGCTGATTTCTCACTTTCTCTCTAACTGTTTCTGTTTCTGTCTGTCTCTCTCTCTCGGGCAAGTACACACACCCTAAAGCCAAAAAAAACTCTTCAAAAAAAAAAGGGGGGAAGAAAGAAATACAAATGTCTGGCAAACATATTTATTTCACAAATAAGGAAATGTAATTTGGGGCTGGCCCAGTTGCCTAGTGGTTAAATGGACAAGATCCCACATGTCTAACTACAGTTCAGATTCCAATCTGGTGGCTTGAAAGACAGGCTGAACATTTATGTGTACATGCTCAAAATGCTAACAACATAGAAGGTGGAGGAGAAGGGACTATAACATTATGTCCCCTTGGGAGGTGCTTTCTCCTTCTCTCCTCTCTTTCTCTCTCAGTGTCCCTGGGAGAAAATATGCCCTCCAGCAATTAGAAAAAAAGAGAAATAAAATTAACTTAAAACAGCGTTCTATTGTTTAATAGGGTTAGCAAAATGTTTAAAGGTTGGTGATGCCCAGTATTGGTTGGGGTATGAAGAACCAAAAGCCTTTCATAAAATTTATTCAGTCAACAGTGAATTAATAACTCCTTCTTTGTATGAGGTAGTGTTTAAGACCCCTAGGGTATTTTAGAGAACAAAATAAATTCAAATTGCTTTCCTTAGGGAATTTTCTAATTCCAGTACATGAGAATTTTAATTTGTGCAAGGTGTGAAAATTACAGGACCAGGAATACAAAGGAAATCACAAGTCAAGGAGCGCAAAGATATATTTATATTCTTTTTTAGAACTTTCGATAGGGCATTGTTGTGATTGCCTGAATTGGGTTGTCTTTTTATTGTTGAGTTGTGAAACTTCTTTCTATTTTTCTGGATTCAAGTCACTGATCAAATACATGATGCAGGTTGTCTTTTTTCTTTGATTAATCATATCTCTTTTCTTAAAGAATTATTTAATTTTATTTATTATTACTGATGACCAGAGAGAAATGAGGAGTGGAGGGGTGAGAAAGTAAGCCTCCAGGTCTGAGATGCAAACTGTGATTGGCCATGTGGGAGTCCAGAACCTTCACCACCATACCACCTGCCAGCCTAATGGTATCTTTTGAAGAACAAAATTTTTTTTTTTTTTTAATTGCTGGAGGGTGCACACCATTGCCACAGAGAGAGAAGGGAGAGAGAGAGAAAGTACCTCTCAGTAGATCATGGTCATGCCTTGGTCCTTTCTCCATTTTATCAGGACTTGGAGCATGCATGCACACGTGCTGGTGGTGTTTTTCAGGCAATGAGGGCAGAGATTCAAAGTGTAGTTAGCCATAGGTGATCTGGCTTCCTATGTGCAGCCCTTAACCACTAAGAGAATGACTCTAATATTTTCGAAGTTTTGATGCTGTTTAGCTTATCGAATTTTCCTTTGTTGTAGTTTTGGTGCCTTATCTGAGAATCCTTTGCCAAATCCAAGTTCACGAAAATTTACTTGTATGTTTTTTCTAAGAGTTTACAGTTTTTACTCTTATATTTAGGTCTTTGATCTATTTTGACTTCATTTATTATAGTGTATAAGGTGAGGGCTTTATATCGCTTTTAGTGTGACAGACTAGGAAATTTAAAATTTCATGTGTGGCTAATATTATATTTGTATTGGTCAAAGCTGACCTAGATCATTTTGATAAGAATCTCTAGAGGAAAAACTTGAAATAGGGGTGTGTGTGTGTGTGTGTGTGTGTGTACGCGCGCCAATAGATATGTGTATATGTAGTCGTATGTATTTATAAGTTGTATTCATATACCATATATAAATAATATATTCTTTACATAAGATATGAAACATACTGAAAATAAGAACTTAAAATCTGTAACATTAAATGTAAACAGAATTTCACACCGTTCAATAGATTGTTTTATACATAATTTCTTTAAGAGACCACTGGTCTGAATTGTCACCATAACCTTCTAAGTGACTCTAGTCTTTCTTCTGTAAGTCATCCCCCACAATACCAATAGCTTACTCTTGCAAATGTGGATCTACTCATGTCATGTATTACCAACTTCAGGATAAAATCCAAACTCAGCTTATCATATCATACAAGGCCTTTCATCAAATATCCTGCCTATATCTACATTAGAACATTATTCAGTTCTAAAAATAAAAAGCACCCAAGCCAAATGAGCAATTTAATGTTATCAGCCTAGATTACTTAAAGTCATTTTTCTTCAGAATGTCAGTAATAGGTGACCTTTGTATTTCATTATTTTCTTGTATCTATTTGTCTTTCATTCCATCAGATACATAACTATTTTATTGCAATTGTAGTTAATTGATTGTTGCTCTGTACTGAGTATTAAGACAAATATGGTATATATGTTCAACATACATTTATTAAGGAATTACCATGTATTTCTATTCCTTTGTCTGATGTTAGGAAATGTTAAAAATACAATGGAATTGTTTCTCTCCTATTAATTTACTTTGAAGGAAAGAAAATGGAATTGGAACACTTCATATTTAATGTAATTTTTAAATACTAAATATCAGTACAATAATTTGTGATAACACGAATCATCAGAATTTTGTTGTTTAAGTACAGAATCTCTGCCTTTCTTATAGATATTCTCCAAGTTTTCCATCTTTCCTATCTCTACTTTCAAAAGAATACCTGTATAATTGCTTTGTACTGTCAAATGCAATATGTCGTCTGAGGTAAACACTGACGCTTCTCTAAGCATAAGCTATTGTTCGTAGTATTTCAAATAATTTCCTGGTTTATAATTGGAAAATGCCCACAAGAGTGGAGAAAAGCTGTAAATTGCTATCTTGTGATCTTTCCAAGCAAGTATCATGTCACTCTCCTCTTTTATAGCAAGGGCTAGAAACCATTTCTGCGGTAATCAATGTATCACAGATATATTATGGGAATATGAAGATTACTTTCAAAATTCTTAGTTTTGGGATATTTGTCACCATGATTGGCATGGGAAAATATTTTTACCTTTTTTTCTGTTAATATATAGGAAAAGGGACCAACAGTTGGCATAATGCCTATATCGCTAGACTCCCATGTAGTTGGCTGTGGTTCAAGTCCTGGACCCAGTGGCTTAAACTCATGCTGAGCACGTGTACATGTGTGCCCAAGATCCCAAGAGGAGTAAGGAGGAGAAGGGATTGTGGTGTGGCCATCCCCCCTGGGGGGGTGATTTCTCACTTTCTCTCTCTTTCTGGCTAGCAAATGCGCCCTATAGCAAAATGTGTGTGTGGTGTGTGTGTGTGTGTGTGTGTGTGTGTGTGTGAAAAGGTAAGTCAATTTTCAAGCATGTCAACTCATTTTGAATATTTTAGATAGCATTCCACTTTTGTAAGCATTAATTTTCTCATTTTATTTGCTTAGTGTCCACTTGGCAAGAAGAGTACTTCAGTTAGAAAAACAAAACTCACTGATTTTAAAAGACCTGGAACATCGAAAGGACCAAGTCACACAGCTCTCCCAAGAGGTAAATAACTTAAAGAAACCTGCATAAAGAATCAGTGTTCATTTGAATTCTTTGTAGTTCTTTTGTTTATTTTCTGAGCAGTTTTAAAATAAGCTATTTGCTGGTACAAAATGATTTCACAGTTTATTAAACTAAATGTTAAGGCCTTGTAAAACAGTTTACGATATATAGCACAACTAAGAACAAAAGGAAGATTCAGTGCCCAGACTACATATTAATGCAGATAGACAGAACTGATTTCTTAGAATATCAATTAGTAAAAGATATTTGACCAATTATGGTGACATTTTAAGTTTTTTATTAACCCATCTCATTTTTAAAAAGAAACGCTTTTTACTTCTGTGTTTATTGAAAAATTACTTATTGAACACACAAACTGGTGTACACTAAAGTCTCCCATTCTGTACATAGTATTTTTAATCCTATTATTTTAAGTCAGCATCTAATTATGTTTTCCCATGCTTTTGAAGTCAAGACAAAAACCAAAGGCAGCACTCACTGTGTTTCTTCAGATATTTCCTGAGCTTCTGCATAACACTTTTTTCTTTTTTTTGTTTTTTTTTGAGAGGTTTTTGCTATAGGGCATGTGCGCTCGCCAGACAGACAGAGACAGACAGAAAGCGAGAAATCACCCCCCAGGGAGGATGGCCACGCCACAATCCCTTCTCCTCCATTCTCTTCTCGGGATCTTGGGCATGCACGACATGCGCCCGGCATGAGGTTAAGCCACCACGTCTGGGACTCGAACCGCAGTTAACTACATGCGAGTCCAGTGACATAGCCATTACGCTAACCGCTGGTCCCAACACTTTTTTCTATGTCGATATTTTCAAACTTTTAAAATCTATTTTTTACTCTAGAGGGAAGGCCAAAGACATATATAAAATACTATTTATACATACCACCACATATGTTCTTTGCTTTAAGGAACTGTTCATATTTATTTTAATTCATCTTCCAATTAGTGCTTTTAATACTTTACCATTATGATCATTATCCTCAAATTTCAAAAGATCAAAAATATTTCATATTACTGCAGTGCCTAGCACATAATTAATGCTCAAAGTGGACATGGTGTGGGACCAACAGTTTGCGTAATGGTTATGTCGCTGAACTCCCACGTAGCTAACCGTGGTTCGCGTCCTGGACCCGGTGGCTTAAAACTCACTCTGGGGGACCAGTAGTTAGCATAATGGCTATGTCGCTTGACTCCCACATAGTTGACCGTGGTTCGAGTCCTGGACCCGGCGGCTTGAACTCACGCTGGGCGCGTGTGCGTGCATGCCCAAGATCCCAAGAGGAGAATGGAGGAGAAGGGATTGCAGCATGGCCATCCCCCCTGGGGAGTGATTTCTCGCTTTCTTTCTCTCTGTCTCTCTCTGTCTTTCTGGTGAGCGTGCGCGCCCTATAGCAAAAACCTCTCCAGAAAAAAAGAAAAGAAAAAAACTCACGCTGGGTGTATGTGCACGCGTGCCCAAGATCCTGCGAGGAGAATGGAGTAGAAGGGATTGCAGTGTGGCCATCCTGCCTGGGGGGTAATTTCTCGCTTTCTGTCTCTCTGTCTCTCTCTGTCTGGCGAGCACACGTGCCCTATAGCAAAAACCTCTTCAAAAAAAAGTGGACATATTGTGCTGTAAATACTAATAACCAGTTTTCCAAGAGGGGTGTGAGGAAATGTTCTGACTCTGGCATTTGCTTATATCTCTGTTATAAATATTCCTGCTATGACTAACTTCAAGCAGATTCAAGCAATGTATGTAAACTCAAGAACATAAATAATAATAAATTAAAAATGGTGGAGTTTTTGAGTATTTGTTCTTTTCCTTTTAATAAAGTTTATTTTAGTACAAATTTAAATCATAGTTTAGTACAGATTTAAATCATAGTTGTGTATAATAACACAGTTTACACATTTCTTAAAAATTTGCCAGTTAGTTCACAAGCCAACTCCCGCCCGCACACCACTGGGTGGAAGCAAAGAAGGATAAATAAATGAATAAAAAAGAAACGGGTCAGACAATGGTGCAGTAGTAAACTTTGACACTCAGCAAGGCAGTGCCACATGGGAAGGTTCTTGCTTCAAGTCCAGAGTCCTCTTTTAGTAGACTGGGCAAAGTTTGCCTATGATCCAGAGCTGACTAAAGCTGGGAATGGGTTGTGGCCTCATGACCCTGTTCAGGGTGCCTGTCTCTCTCTCTGTCTCTTCTGTGGAAGAAATAAATGATTAAATGTTTAAAATATTTATAAATAAAATAATAAAATACATATACATATTTATATGTATATCTATACATTGCTTTAAGGAAATAAAAGTACCTCCTGAGCACTTCAGTTCATTGAGGTGAGAATTTCTAACTATGCACACACTCCTATATAAATTGTTGAGGAAATGTAAGAGATTAAGTGTTCTTGTAATGATGTATATTTAACTTGGTGTGAAACAATTTTACAATAAGCTGTGGCTTCTATTAAGAAAAAGACTAAATATTGAAATATTTATGATATGAAATAGTACCTGAATTGGCTTTTAAAATATTCCATGGGAAAAAAAAAAAAAAGAAAAGAGCTCAAAGAATTGCAAACTGTTGATGTTTGAAACAGGATAATGTTGTATGGCTGTTCATTGTCCAAGTCCGTACTTTGGTGTGTTTGAGAAATTTTCGTAAAACATTTGGAGAGTCAGTAACCCTATACTAAAGGATTTATGCCAGCTATAATATAATACATACCTTTTCCATAAGATTGAAAGTAGGGCCAGCCAGTGCCATGGTGTTTAAAGCAGCTGACTCCCACATGGCTAGTTACACAATTTGAGTCCTGGCCCCAGCAGCTTGAAAAATAACACCCAGTGTGTATATATAGATTGCCCAGAATCCCAAGAGGAGAATGGAGGAGAAGGAATTGAGGTGTGGCCATCCCCCCAAGGTAGTGATTTTTCACTTTCTTCTTTCCTTCTGTCTCTCACACATGTGCAAGTACATGCTCCCTATAGCAAAACTAGAAAAAATATTGAAGATGAAACATTTCATTAATTTTACATATTCCATAAATGTTACTTTTTTCTGCCTCACAGAAGTCATATTAACCTAAATTGAAAATGATTATATAAACTCATTAGCTGAAAGATGATAATACTAGATTACTGTTTTAACAGTAGATTATGTTCATGATTGGAAGTAAAAAAGGATGGGTCATTCCCGTAGTGCAGTTATTAAGCACTGTGTGTGGGTAACCAGATTCTGTGTGGTCAACTTTGATTCGAATTCCAGCATGGCAGCTTGAAAAACACACGAGACACATGTGCATGTGTGCCCTACGACCTGATGGGACGGAGAAATGATGGAAAGGGATTGCACATGACCAAGCCTCACTGAAGGATTCTTTATTTCTTTGCTTTTCTCTCTGGAAAGCATGCTCTCTCTCTGGTAATTTAGGAAAGAAAAATAAAGTAGAAAGGAAATTATTTCAAGATCTGTACTCTTTGAAACAGGCTAAATATTTAAATTAGCTTGGTGTTTTTGAGACTAATACACAGGTGAAACTCAAATAACTGATGTTAGAGTTACCATTGAGATAATCCACTGTTCAGATTACGTATTTGGTTATAAATAATGAATTGCCAAAATGACAACAGTAAATAATACTGAAAATAAAGCCAAATATTTTCTTGTTAGCAGCTTTATCGAGGTATAATTGGTGTAACTAAACTACACATATGTAGAGTATACATTATAACTTTTGACATGTAGATATACCCATGAAAGTACATCAGAATAAAGATAATGGATACATCTCCTCAAAAGTTTCCTTGTGCCACTCAGAAATCTTTCCCTCCCAGCTCTCACTGTCTTAGTTCAGCAACTACTGATTTGATTACTTACTGTAGATTAATTTGCATATCCTAGACTTTTATGTACAAGAATTAACACATTATATATGTATTATTTTATTTAATGTCTTCTTTCACTCTGCCTAATTATTTCAAGATGTATCTAAGTTTATTCCTTTTTATTGCTGGCTAAAATTCTGTCTTATGAATGAATCGCATTTATCCATTTGCTTCTTGATGGTCATTTGGGTCGTTTCCTCTTTTCACCAGATAAAGCTGATGTGAACATCCACGTACAAGTCTTTGTATGAACGTGTGCTTTTATGTCTTTTGGGGTAAATACCTAGGAGTGAACTATCTACATCATATTGTAGGTATCTATTTATCACCTAAGAGACTGCCAAACTGGTTTTCAAAATGCTTGTGCCATTTTACATTTCCACCAGTAGTGTGTGGAAGTTCCGATTCCTTTTAAGTCCCTGCCTTGATACAATCAATCTTTTTATTTTTATCTACTCTAATAGGTATATCTCATTTTTATCTATCCTAATAGGTATATGTCATTGTGGTTTTAATTTGCATTTCTCTAATGATTAATGATGTTGAGCATCTTTTCATTCAACCTTCTTTGACATCCATTTATCTTGGGAAAGTGTTAACATTTTTGGTTCCTCTTTTCAGATTGCCTTCTTATTGAGTTTTGAACATTATTTATGTATTCTGCATATGAGTCCTTTATTACATATGTGTTTTTCAAACATTTTCTCCCATTCTGTGGCTTAAATTTCCATCTCTTGACAGCGTGTTTTGAAGAGTTTTTTTTTATCACTTTGTTGTTTTATGGATTGTGTTTTTGATGTTACATTTTTATAAAAAAAACTAATCTAGGGTCAGAAATTTGTGTCCGTTTTCTTCTAGATGTTTCATAGTTTTAGGTCTATGATTCATCTATAATTTTTGTATGGAGCAGAAGATAGATTAAAATCCATAAATTTACATATTGAAACCTAGCTGTTCTAGCATCACTTGTTGGAAAGAACTTTGTTGAAAACCAATTAATTATTCATATGTGATTGTTTCTAGATTCTCCTTTTTATTCCATTTATCTATTTGTCTTTTATTCAATAGCACACTATTACTTTATTGAGTATTAGTCCAGAACTGTTCCTTT